ATGACATTGGTTCATTGCTACATAGAATCATCAGTATTGATACTTGATCTCTGGCTGCTTTCAACATTGTTGACCACTTCATCATTCTCTGAAATATTTCTCCCCTGCTTTTTCTCTTACCTCTGAAGCAGTTCCTTCCATCTCTCCTAAGGTCCCTCATTCTTCTCTTCTGGCTATTAAATGTTAGACTTCCTCAAAGCCTGGCCTTCTGCTGTTCTCATTCCACACTCCTTCTGGGTGCACACATCACTGTCCATGGCTTTATTTAACATCTATATTTGCATAATTCCCAATTTTTTTTTTAAGATTTACTGAAAGAGAGAGGAGAGCATGAGCGGGGGGGGGGGGGGTCAGAAGGAGAGGGAGAAGCAGACTCCCCGCTAAGTGGGGAGCCCAATGAGGGGCTCAATCCCAGGATCCTGAGACCATGACCTGAGCTGAAGGCAGACACTTAGCCAACTGAACCACCCAGGTGCCCCATGATTCCCAGTTTTCATCTCTAGCCCAAACCTGTCCCCTGAGCTCTAGACTCCTATGTCTAACTGATGATGCTCATACTCAAAGATACCTCAATCATATCATGTCTAAAACTGAGCTTTATTGTTACCTCCAAATACCACTGTTTCAGTTATAGAAATTTTGAGATTATTCTTGACAACTTTCTCTCAACTCCCAAATATCCAGGTTATCATCAATTCCTATTGACCTTACCTTCTAAAAGTCTCTTGAATCCAACAACTAATCATCACTTTGCCAACCACCTTCATTTCTCACCTTAACTACAATTGCCTGCTAATTGGACTCTCTATAAACACTTTTCCCCCTTCAGTCTGTTCTTTCCATACAACAGCCATAGGGACCTTTTAGAAACTATAATGTGTGTTACTCCCCTACTTAAAAATTCTTCAGTGGCTTCCCATAGCTCTTGAGACAAAGACCCAAATCCTTATTGTGACCCACAAGGCCTTATAAGAACTGGCCTCTTACTCAGTTCTGTAGCCTTACTTTACCTTGCTCTGCATTCAGCCATATCAAGTCCTGGAATAGGCTATGTTTTAATTCACTTCTCACTTCTCTTTTTTTTCCCCCAAGGATGGTATATAAGATCACTTTATTTCACAGGGCAAAGGTTAGATAATACCCCCTGGACACTACGTAAAGCATTAGAAGCCAACTATACATATGTTCAGTACTGGCCAGAGAGCTGTTCCTCTTCTTCTAGAAGTGCTGCTTTTTATTGTGGCTTATGGTAACCATGCAACATGGAATGTTGGGAATAACCCTGGAATCCAGAAAATGACCCATGGAATCCAGGGAATGGCACTGGATGCCACATGGGGCAAGCTGTTTTGCCCAAACTCTTATCCCCCAAAACATACCCTCTTTAGCCAGTGAGGGCCTTTTATAAAAAGCCTTGTGGGTTTCATGAAGAGACTACTATGCATCATAGCTTTTGCCCAGCATCACCACAAAACTTGAACTATTTTGGTTAAATAGCCCTTTAAAAGCTGACAGAAGAAAAGAATATCTATTGTGAAACTGTCTAAATCCCCCAATTGCTAGTTCCACACAGTCAGATATGGTGATGATGCACATAGTTCTGGATTAATAATGAAAGCTTAAAAAGCAGAGAAAAGCTGAATGGACTTTGGCTGGCTGGCTCTCCCCTCAGGAGCGCTAAGCATCATCTCCTGGTGCCTTTCCTGACATGAGAGGGTTTTCACATCTTGGACAGCCTGATGTCATAGGTGACCATGTTGAAGTTGTCCCAGGCACAGAGCTTCTTCTCCAGCAGGTCATAGTCAACGATGCTGCTGTACGGTTCTTGAGTGGGACAGTCAGGGCCTTGCTGTGCCCCAGGCCTGTGGCATAAGCAAAGCTGAGAGTGGTGTCAGGTGATGAGTAGCTGTTGACGGTGTACAAATGGTCACAGACGATGAAGACATTGGCCACTGACTGCTTATGGTTGTTAGTCTCCCCGGTTTGTTCAAGTTCCAGACTCTCTGGGTTCAGTTTGGAGAGGACAATTGCGCCTTTGGCCTCCTACGTGCTGTAGACTTCTCACTTCCTTGTGGAAGATTTCTTGAATTCTCCTAAGTTAACTCTCCTCTTATATTCTGTCCTAGCCTCATGTCTTTTTCTCTCCAGCATTTATCTCAGGTCTAATTTTATATTTATGTATGTGATTAATGTCTGTCTTCTCTGCAAACTCAATGAGGATAGGGGTCATGATGTTTTGTTCACCTTTGTAACTCCAGCAGTGAGCACACTGTCTGAAACAATAAATATCTGTTGAACTAATCATTCTAACCTCTGTTTCCTTTAAAATTATAACAATGCTTTATTGAGTACTGTATTGAGTACTTTCTATGTGCCAGATGCCATTTTAAGCACTTGACATGTATCATCTCATTATTCGTCTTAATAGAAGAAGGGGGAGGTAAAGTAATCTGCCCAAAATACACAGCAGGTTACCAAAGCTAGTAAGTGACAGAGCTAAAATTTGAACCCAGGAAGTCTGGCTTCAGAATCCAAGCTCTTAAATATTGTATTATATTCCCTTTAATGCCCATATCACCGACTTATGATTTTCTGATTAATTTTATGAGAGTCCTTCAGACCTGGAAATAATTTCCGTGGTCATCCTTTTTTCATAGATTGGATGAGTGATATCAAAAGGGGTGAATGACTTGTCCAAGATCATACTGCAAGCCGGTAGCAGAATTTAGACTCTATTGTTTTCTGCTTTTTTTTGTTCCTGCATTGTATTGGCCTGGTGCCTCTTAGGAATGAGCTAAGTTTAACTGGCAAGATTCAGTTCTATTTCTTTTATAGATAAAAATTTTAGTGCTGTATCTGACATATAGTATAAAGATGTAGTACAACATATAAGAATTCCTTTTTGCAATTGTACAGAATGTGTAACTAGCTTTTATAATTGTATGTATGTGGAGTGGTAGGGGGTGGGGGATTGACTGCGATTTGCCAGAGCTAAAGAAAAGAAGTAGCAATCATCTGTCTCTGATCTTGGTCTTTGCTTGCCTGAAAGCAGGGGACTAGGTCAGACCCAAATCAGATCTCTGAACCTTCTAGGTTCAGGTCTTGGAAGTATATTGAAAGCATCTGTCAACCTTAACTAAAGGTGTTCTTCATACAGAACTTTTCTTGAAAAGAAGAAAAAAGTATATTTTAATCCCAAGTTCATTTATACCTTTGGTTGTTTGATGGCCTGCTGCACAAAGTAAGGTCTGTAGATCATCAGCACCCACATCCTTGGAAGCTTGTTAGAAATGCAGAATTTCTGGCCCTATCCCAGACCTGCTAAACCAGAAACTGCATCTTAATAAGATCCTCAGATGATTCACACGCACATTAAAGGTTGAGAAGCACTACTCTGAGAGGGTCTGCCAGGAAAGAGACTGAAGAATAAGACTGAATGTCACACTGAATCACCTTATTTTTAAAAGCACAGTATTCATTCCCAGCTGACAACTTAAAACATATAAATAGAATTCTACACATTTCTCTAAAATCCCACACTTGACAGTAGATAATCTTCATAGATTTTTCATAGGCACAAGAAATGCTGGAGTTGGAAAAAACCTAGGACACCATTAGTCTATCCTGCATTCACCCAAATGCAGAATACCTTCTATAGGATTCCTGTGTGGCCTCTGACTGAACATTTCCAGGAAAGGCAGCTCACCAAGTTACAAGGCACAACCCTTCCTTGCCATTCACTGCCACACTTAACAATCTCAGTTTAGTTCTGACCATCTATCACCTGGAGATGGCAGCAGTGTTGCAAACTTGTCTCAATCTTTCTGACCATCCAAGAGACAAAACCGTCTTCCTACAATCATATACCAACAAATGGGGTGCTTGAAAATTTTGACTTTCTTTTCAATTCACTATTGTCCACACTTATGTAACTACCTTCTATTTTCTCTTGTCTCATCGGACAGATCAGCTAATTATCCAGAGACTTGGGTCATCCTGCCTTTCTAATTTTTTGCAAGTCCAACTCCCTACTTTAATCCTGTTCTCCGTGGCACAATTTATGGCTCCCTGACTTAGCTATAAAAATTCCATTAATTTTGCATCTCCTCACTCCGCCCAGCTCCCGGGTATTCACTAATAGTGGTAACTATTCTTTTGTCTTTTTCTGATTTTTATGAAACTAGAGAAGCTAACCTTGTTTGTCTAGACTCCTCGTTAAAGGGCAAATTCATCTAGAACAGGAATCTAGTCCTTTACACGGCGTTTCGTGGCACCTGGCTGCTTCCTTTATGTTCTACTTGTGGGGGCTAAGACTTCTATCTATACTATCACCTGAAGTTCACTGGAGAGTCAGTCACCTGTGAAGATGTCCTTCCTATCTGTCCAAGATTCTCACTGCCAGAATTTCATTAGAACTCCCCTGGAGACTGAGACACTTCAGTTAAAATTCACAGACGGCTATAGAGCCCATACCATACTCAACTTATTTTGCTAGGTGTTGGTATGGATAGAGAGATGATTCCGATAAAGGCAAAGTTCCAGAGTGCACGTTATAAAAGAAGAAACAAAACAACTTAGTCTTGTGAAGATATCATGTTAGAGACAAAATTTTTGCCACATTTAGTTATCTTCTTAATTTGGGACCCCATAGATAGATATCTACTTTACCTATTGCTCTATCTCAGGGGGTAGGGCACCATAGTGCAAGGTCTTCCCCTCCAGGTGAGTTTCTCAAACTCCTCGTACACACCGTTTTAAAACGCTGACGGCCCTAAGGGCTGTTGTTTACATGTCTCTTTCCTCATGAGACTGTGAGCTAACCGAAGGCAGAGTTCATGTTTTATTTCCAGAAAGCACCATGCTTGGCATTTAGTAATCAATACTGAGAATGATACAGGTAACCCTACTGAGCGCTTGCCCTGTGGCAGCCACTCTCAGAAAGGGTTTACGTATAACCAATCATTTAGTACAGGCACTTGCTCAAGCGAACGAACCCATACCCTTCTCTCCACCGGCTTTAGTTCCGCAGACCTCCGACCTCTTCCCCAGGGCGTCCGCGCTCCCTCACCTCCCGGAACTTCTTCGCCCCGCCCCCAGAACGTCCGCGTCCCGCCCCCTCGCCGCCACGTGGTCCAGGGCCGGTCGCACATCACTAACGTCACCAGCACGCGCCCTGGCCGCTGCTGTCCACCTGGTTTGCGAGTCCCGTGGTTCTAGCTTCTTCGCGACCCGATTGCTCGGTAGCCGCCACCGCTCAGGTCCGGAGACTCGCGGCGGCCCAGGCCCTCGACATGTCGATGCTGGCTGAGCGTGAGTGGAGGGCGCGAGGGTGAAGGTTCCAGGTGACGCGCCCGGCCGGACCGAGTGGCGCGGGGTGCGGGTCGCCGGCGCTCAACGGGGCGGGGGATGCCGGGGGACGGGGAAGCCCGGTTCGGCTCGCCCTGCCTGCCGCGGAGATTTCCCAGCCCAGCCTTCCCCAGAAGTTAGCTACCGGTCTACTAGTGAAAGAGACTGCGAGTGTAAACGTGGGACTCTTGTCCTTACGCTCAGGTCTGGGCACGCACGCGGTGGGTTCTAATGGGAGCCAGGACGCGGACCGGGCAAACCCTGAGCTGTTCTTTCACTTCGCCGGGCCTCAGCTTCGTCTGGTTAAAAAGAGGCGGTTGGGCCAGCAGAATCTCTTCAGGCAGTGAAATCCCGTTCTCGAAGATTTATTGAATCCAGAGAAAGAAAAGCAAGGGGTTTAGAAGCATCAAACACAAGAAGTTAACCTTTTTTAGGGAATGCAGGACTAATGAGTGAGTCTAAGTAAGACTGACGGTTTGGACTTAGTTGAAATTGTTAACATTCTTGCATGACAGAAGTGTTGGCTGCAACGCCGCGCCCTGCTTTTTGCCTTTGACATTTATCTTCACTTTATGAAGTTCATTAATTCCCTCGCTCGGGAGAGGCGATTTGACTTCTGAGCGGTATTTGTAGCTATGCCTGCCACTAGGTGGCAGTCGTGCTTTGTCATGAAAAGCCGGCCCGGGACTTTTTGAGGTGCATAGTGAGCAACGAACAGAAACGGCTTAACAGGCCAATAGCAGCCACACAGGGATTCTATGAAATAAATGCTGTCAGCATTCTCTTATCTAAGTAGGTTGGAGAAAGGGAGCACAAACGCAAGGGGTAAGGCACCGTTCCAATTTTACGGGGGCTGAAATCCAGGTTCAGAGGAAAATAATTTGCCCCGAGTCGTTGAGCTAGAAAGTGACAAATTGATCTAGTTATCACTGTGTCTTTACCTTTTTGTCACTGGGCCAGCAGTTTCCTATTGTTTTTTAATAGGGACTTATAGAAAAGCATATGTTTTAGACTGTGACTATATGGGCTCTGTTTCTTCATTTGTGAAACTAGGACTGCTAGAATCTCTTCTGGTTTTAATTTCTCTGATGTATGCTTAATTCAGCATGCACATTGGCCCTGGCTCTGCTATTCATTTATGTCTCTTTCCATGATCAATTTCTGCGGGGCTATTAAAAAACTTACTATCTTCATTACTAGGTTGGCTTAAAAATCAATGAGATGGTGAACATGAAAACATTTCAGAGTATGAAATGCCTTTTATACAGGTGTGAAATGCTGTTTGTAGACATCAGTAATTCGAATTGCATGATTTCCGAGAATATTTTCAGTTCTTCTCTCCCTACCCTGACTCCAAATTTTCAAATCTTTGCCATGATAATATTGATACTTTGTGTTGTCTTTTAAAATAACTTGCTAAGTTTATGTCTTCGGCATCCCTTGTGATTAGATATTTAGGACTGGTGTTCTTATTTTTTTAAAGATTTATTTATTGAGAGAGAGAGAGAGCGCGGGGTTGGGTGGGGTGGTTAGGCAGAGGGAGAGGGAGAGAATCTCAAGCAGACTCCCCGCCGAGTATGGAGCAATATCTCTGGACCCTGAAATCATGACCTGAGCCAAAACCAAGAGTCAGATGCTCAACCGACTGAGCCACCCCGGCACCCCAGGACTGGTGTTCTTATTTTAGAAGTAAGAAAATAGGAGCAAAGAAAAGACCTAGTCTCATAATTTCAGTGCCTAGCAATTATTTTTTCTGAGAGTTTATAAAATTAGGGTAATTCTGTAGGTATAGTTTTGTTTTCTCCCCACTTAACGTTAGTGAACATTTTCAATTCATTAAGCATGCTATTTCTTCTGTTTTCCCTTGCCATATGGACTATATTTTATTTTATTTTCGCCATAGGCACTTATCCTATTTTTAAAATCTAGTAGTTTTCTTTTTGTTTCTCAAAAATATTTTTATTTAGTATTTCTGTGATATCAAGTGTTATTTTCTTGGGACTTCCTTATGCAAGACAAGAAATCTAGCTTACATAAACCTCCCCCTATGTAAGACAAGGATTTAATTTATTGATCTCACTTCCCAGTCATTACATCATTTGGAGTTTTAGACCCGGATTTTTATCAAGTTATTACTTTTTTTTTTTTTTAAGATTTTATTTATTTGACGGAGAGAGAGACAGCGAGAGAGGGAACACAAGAAGGGGGAATTGGGAGAGGGAGAAGCAGGCTTCCCGCTGAGCAGGGAGCCTGATGTGGGGCTCGATCCCAGGACCCTGGGATCATGACCTGAGCTGAAGGCAGACACTCAACCCCTGAGCCACCAAGTTATTACTTTTTTTATAGATTCTTTCCTTTTTGAGATCAGTTTTTGATACTTCAATCATCATATGTGTAGTCAAATCACGCTATAGTTAATGGATTTTAATGATCATTGCATTAAGATATTATACTGCAGTTTCTTTAATGTTGAATATGTCTTGAATTTTTAAAAGGAATACATGGAATATCTCAAAGTATCCTTTGAAAAAGAAAAAAAAGACAAAACTTCTGTCCCTGACTCTTGGAACTCAACACACCTTTCAGAGTAAGCTGAATCCTGGCGTAAGCCAGGTGGTATTAGGCATGGAGTGATTGAAAAGTGAAGTCTCTTAAAGCTGTATATGGAGGGTTGTTTATTGGGGTTATCCTGAAAGTGTCCTGATGGAATCGACTACAGTTAGATCTTCAAATAGGAGTCCCTGCTAGAGGAACTAAGCAGTGATTCTGTAGATTCAGGGTGCTTTACTCTCACACTGCTGTTCCACATAGTGTCAGGCATCCCCAAGACCATCTCAGATTCAGTGATTTGCTTGGATTCAGGACATAGGACTCAGCAGAAAGTTGTACTCATGGCTAAGATTTATTACAGCTAAAAAATCAGCAAATGGAAAAGATACATGGAGCTAAGTCCAAGGGAAACCAGACACAAGCTTCCAGAGTCCTCCCTCAGTGGAGTCACACAGGACACGCTTAATTACCCCAGTATGAGTTGTGACAACGCTTGTGAAGTGTTGCAAACCAGGGAAGTTTGTTAGGAACTGGTGTCATGTTTACTGGGGGCTGGTCATGTAGGCAGGCTCTGCTTGGCATGTACCAAAATTCCAGACTCCCAGAAGGAAAGCCAGGTATTCAGTATAAACCATACTGTTTGTATAAACAGGCATGATGAGCCCTTCATGAATTCTGAGAATGCTGGGAACCGTCCTGAAACCCAAGTTCCCAGCCAGGGTGCCAACCTTGTAAGCAAGCCTTTTGAAGGATAGCAGTGAGGCCTACTATGTTCTGTTCTGCACATAGGGTTAGCAAAGCTGACGTCTAAGCACAGAGTAACTGCGGAATAAGAATATCAAAGCACTTGAACATAATAATAAAAAATAATAATAAATTAAAAAAAAATAGCAAAGCACATGTAAATGTTGATCCAGTATGAACAGACCAGTGACAGTCTTTTCCTTCCCCGATTTCCCAAACCTGGAAACTTCTCTAGCACTAGAGCCAGAGAGTGTTTCAAGGAAGTAGGGTTCTGAGCAAATAAATTTGGGAAACATGGCATGCCTGCTTTGCCCTAGAGGATCTACACATCTGCGTATTAACCATTCTGGGAAAGTCTCTAATATGGAACACTATTGAATTTTGTTTCACCCATTATTGCCCTTTTTTATTTTAATGGGAAGTGCCCCCCCCCCCCAATTTAATGTCCTCATTGGGGAAACCCTGTCCTACCCCATTGGTTGAGTTTACCTGACATTTCTGCAGGGAAGAGGAACTGACCTTTGGGATCTTTGGTATAAGCACTCTAGTCTGCTTTATAAACATACGTAACATAAACTGTTGGAGTTCTTATTGCAAAGGGTGGCCTCATTTATTCTGAAAAATGTCCCCTTTGTGTAAGCCCCATTGAGAACACCCTGGCAAGCACTACTGAATAGAGACATGAATTCTGACACACACCAGTAAGCAGCTTCACAGAGAGAACACTGGTTAACGAGGCTCATATCTGGCATGTTGTTCATTAGCAGAGGCAACATTATGCTGTATATTTGCTAAGATAGGTAAAGTAGTAACTTGGTCATGGTTAGCATTTTTAGGTTACCCTTCTCCTGTAAAACTATAGATTTGTTTTGCTTCATAAGTAGCCTTTTTCTACATGCTAGTAAAAGGTTCAATTATTTTTGCTACGATGTGTATAGTTTGGGTCTCTATTGATTTTACATGTAATACAGTGGGCCCTCTGACTTGAAGTTGTGTTACTTTTAAATTATGTTGTGAAGATGATCCAGCTGTGACATCTGTTACCCTATTGATCGCCAGGGTTGATTGGGCTGATCCGACTGGCTAGGTCGGTGTCCCCTTCCTCACTGCTCCATGTGTGTCCCTCCCTAAGCCGTGTGCTAGGTCGAAGCTGTATGCTAGGTGGAAGAGGATGACCTTCCCCGATAGAGGAGGGATAAAGAGGGCCTTTCTTTGGTCAAGGGTATAAGAGTAGCTGTGCTCCCCTGCTAGAACCTCCAAACAAGCTCTCAAGGTCCATTTGTAGGAGGACGTGGGGTAGTCAAGCTTTTAATACTCCAGACACATCTAAGTGGGGTTGCTGCACATGGCTGTCTGCCTTTCTTAAAGAAAGAAGGGAGAGAGGGAGGTAGGAAAAGAGGGAGGGAGAGAGGGAGGGAAGGAGGAAGGAAGGAAGGGAGAAAGAATGGACAGACTAAGTTACCAGGCTGTTGTTGATAGTGACATACTGTGCTTTGGTTGCTGCAGTAGGTGAGTAATAATGACACTTGACCTGCAAATTCCACAGTTTACTTTGGGGCTTCATGTTCTTGTTCTGTGAACTTTTGAGGTTCTGTATCTGTGCAGTAATCTTCCTTAAAACTACAGCGATAGGGGCACCTGGCGGCTCAGTCGGTTAAGCATCTGCCTTTGGCTTAGGTCATGATCCTGGAGTGCCTCTCTCTCTCTCATGCTCTCTCTCGATAAATAAAATCTTAAAAAAAAACCTACAGTGACAAATTTGAGTTCCTAATGATCAGTTATTGATATGCATTTTAAAAATACTTAAGAGATTCAAAGCAGTTCCCTTAAATATGTTCCTTCCTATCTTCCTTTCCTCTTGTCTCCTTTTTTGCTTTCTTTTCTCCATTTCACTCATACACCCATACACATAGTGCCTGCTATGAGTACAGTGTTTTCTACTTCTTGCAATGAAACATAAAAAAGAATAACACACAAATATGAGCCATAAGTTGATGATGGTCTAATAGAAAACATCAGAGATGGATATAAATAGCCACAATACAGAAGAATGTGAGTTAAATGCCAGAAAAGAAGCAGATAATTTATACTGGAAGTTCAGAAAAGGGATCATGTGGCTTTAGGGCATTTGAATGACAAGGGATGGTATCACGAATATCTGTAGATCATGTGTGTGGAGGGTATGGTTGACTCTCCCCAAGATCATAATGACTGGATTAAGAATATAAGCTTTGACGTCACCTGAACCTTGCTTTGTATGGAGGCTCTGATTTTTGCTTGGGGGCATTAGGCACATTTCTTTGTCTAAGCCTCAGATTTCCTCATCTGAAAAATGGTGATCAAAATATCCATCCTCATTGAGTCCCTGTGCAAACTGAATACAGTGCATGGATAGCATTTGGTACGTGCTGTCTGGCAAAGAAAGCTGCAGTGGTTGCTGCTTGTGGTGGTGGTGACACGCGTGTTGACAGGTGCTTTCAGATGCTGCCTTTCGCTGAGTGCTGAAGGCCAGCTGATGGCTTGTCGTGTATTTCTGTTTGTCACATATGGAGGGAACATTGTTATTCTAAGGCCAATTTGTATATTGAGAATATACAGTTATTGGGAAGACCAGGGTAAGTGATCCAATCTGATGATATTTCGTTGAATGCTGAATCCAGTATCTGTAGCTAATAAAACATATTGTTTGTCACATTTTTTGCAAGTATATGTGTATGTATTAGGTTTTGTGTGTATTTGTGTTGTATTTTCCAGGTTTGAAAGATAGATTGCTGATGAAATACTTTGTCACTTCTAGGGCGGCGGAAGCAGAAGTGGGCTGTGGATCCAAGAAACACTGCGTGGAGCAATGACGATTCCAAATTTGGCCAGAGGATGCTAGAGAAGATGGGGTGGTCTAAAGGAAAGGTACGTTGGAGAAGAGCAAAAGAAATTGGAGCCATGCAAAAAGGCAAATCAGGAGGATGCATCTTTCTTCGGAGACTGGGAGAAATTTATGTTTTAGATCAATAAGTGATTCTGGAGAAAGAACTAAATTGTAATGATAAAGTTAGAATTGAACATAGATGTCAATTCTCTTTATCATTTAAACTGCCGTGATTGGCGTCTTTCATAAATTGTACCTTTTAATTAGCTGCACTTAGAATCATACTTAACCGTCATTGTTCTATATTGCTAAGAGTAATACTTTGTTCCCCTTTATAGCTTAGAATACACATTTTTTCATTTTCCTCACACTCCATTTATTCCCAACTGAAATAGAATTTCTACTGATACCTTTGTATTTAAATGGTTCTTGTGAGGGTCTTTAATGACCTTGTTGACAAATCCAGTGGATCCTTTTTTGTTCTCACGTTACTCAGTCCCTTAGCAGCATTGGACATAATTGACTATTCTTGAAGTACTTCTGTCTCGGCTTCTACAATACTGCCCTCCTCTCTGTTTTTTCCTTCTCCCTCACTGGCCACTCCTAAATGTGTTGCTGGCTCTTCCTCCTCCAGGCTTTTGTGCTTTGGAGCTCCTCAGGGTTCCGGCCCAGGCTTTTTCTGTACTCTGCTCAGGTGAGCTCTTTCATTCTAGACCATGCTTGGAATTGTCTGAATTCTGAGGACTTTTCTACATCTGGTCCAGAAATGTCCTCTGAGCTCCACAGTTGTAAATTCACCAGCCTGCTTGGCATTTCTACTTGAGTAAGCATCTCAGGTTTATCATTTTTGTTATAAAACTCTTGATCCACCCCCTACCCTCCCCCACCCCCGCCAGTCTTTTCCTTCTCAAGTCTTCCCCGTTTTTGCAAATGGGCCTGCCTGGTTCCTGTACGTCTCTCACTTCTCGCTTCCCCAGTCGTTACTCCTCTCCCCGCAGGGCCCCATCCTGGGCCACACATCGTCCTCATCTCTTGCCCTGATCACTGCTGCAGCCTCACAGCTGCTTCCCTCCCTCCTTTTCTACCTCTGGGCCGTTTGCCAAACAACAGCCACAGTACCTTTTAAAGTACAGAAATTAGATTGTGGCATTCCCTTGCATAGAAGTTCAGTGGTTTCCCATTGTTTTAAAAAATTAAATCCAAATTCCTACCATAATTTCCAAGGTCCTGTGAGGTCTGTCTCTTTTATATCATCTTATTTTCTCTTAGCGACCCTGGTTACCTTTAGTTTCTTCAGTCCCAACTTCCCTGGGACACCTTACACATGAGTGTTAATTGATGCAGGGGACTTGGTCTCCTCTCCCCACTTTCTCAGTGTTGTTTTATAAAATTATTTAATGGAGAGAGCCATAGAGTTGTAATATCTCTAATGGGCTTCCATTAGTTTGGTGGTAGTGCTCTGATTTCGAGCATCACAGAAAGGCCTGTTCTCGGTAGTGTTTACATGGGCCATGAAGTGAGTGTCAGATTGAAGAAGTAGCGTTCATTGTTACGAGTGTATTGGTATTACAGACATACTTTATAAGAATCCATTAGACTGTCCTCTTTGAGGGTAAGGATAGTGCCTCACTCCTGGATATTTAATAATTAATCGAACGGTTGATAAAGGAGGAAAGATGCGATCTGTCTTGATACTTGATAAAAATGCTAACTCTCTTTTGTTGATCTCCACAGGGTTTAGGGGCTCAGGAGCAAGGAGCCACAGATCATATTAAAGTTCAAGTTAAAAATAACCACCTGGGACTTGGAGCTACGATCAATAATGAAGTGAGCAACAGTGTGTCTACTGGGGGTTTTCTTTGCACAATTTGCTTTTTTATAAATATAAACACTTTAATCCAATCAAATTGATCAGTTTTCAACTATTCAAGTGTGTATCCTCCATGGTGTGGTTAACTAAAGAGCCCATAACTAAGCAGGCTCTTCATCACATCACATGCCTTCACCTTGCCTTGTTGTCCTTATGGGATTCTTTACTTGCTTATGTCTAAGAGATCCAAATTCGTTTTATTGCTAAACTTTGAAAAAAAATTCTTTTTATGGAATATTTATAATTTTGTACTCATTTCAGTACAGAAAGACATTTTCATCTTTACCTGTGTTCTGATATTTGCTTATGTTATTAAAAGTTGGTGGTGTTTAGTTTCAGAAAGAAACTAAGTTTTTTCTGCAAGAAAGTGGTGACCTTTATCTGTCCAGTTATCTGTTTCTGACTGTTGGTATTCAGTGGTTGAATTTATTCACATTTCCCCTTACATACTGATGCTTTGAGAGATAGATGTATGGATACACTTAATTTTTTAGGAGAAGCATTGCCCAGTAAACCTATTTAATATGCCTTAACCTTCAGCATTCTTAAAAAGTGTGTATGAGGCAAATTCCTACATTGATACCTTGCTTCCCATTGGTTCAGATTGTTTTGGAGATACCCATTCTCTTTTAAAGTCTGATTGTTTTTGTTATAATGAATGTATTAGCACCACCTTACGAGGGTGCTCACTGATCCAGGGAACTTGGGAGTCTTTCCTGCTCCCTTCCTCAGTGTTGTTTTATAAAATTGGGGTTGACGCGAGCAAATAGAATTGGGCAAAATATTTTCAGTGCAGAGGAGCAAAGAAGAGAGCCCTGAAGTCTGTCACTACTTTTTTCCCTTTGACCTACATAATATTCCCATGGTGGGAGAAAAATAATAATTTTATTTCCTTTATTTTAATATTTAGCACAGAGGTTGCCTATTGATAATTTGATTATAAGTGGACTGTTGATAAGTTATCCACATTTGAAATCAGGACTTAATCTTCCAAGAAGTCCATTTTTAAAAATTTTTTTAAATTTTGAATTTTTTTAAAAGATTTATTTATTTATGAGAAAGAGAGTGTGTGTGTGCACGGCAGGGCGGGTGGGTGCAGAGGGAGAGAGAGAGTCTCAAGCAGACTCCCCGCTGTGTGTGGAGCCCTTCACAGGGCTCAGTCTCACAACGCTGAGATCATGACCCAAGCTGAAATCAAGAGTTGGATGCTTAACCAGCTGAGCCACCCAAGCACCCCAAAGCCTTTTTTTCATATTAATATAGATAAATTACATTTCAAATTTATATTATTTCTTCATTCAAATTTGTAACATAATATTTTGATGAAACATTTAAAATTTCACATTAACAACCAGATTCTAAATTCTAATTTCCTTGATTCTAAAATATATCTTACCTCAACCAGTGTATGTAAACAACAGGCTTGCCTTTAATTGCTTTTTTGGGTGTTTTCAGGATAACTGGATTGCTCATCAGGATGATTTTAACCAGCTTCTGGCTGAGCTGAACACTTGCCATGGGCAGGAAACAACAGGTAGGAAAAACCTTTGCTTTGTTATTCATTTGATTTATAGAAGACATAATGTCTTAATTTAAAACATTTTTATTAACTCTTTTTACTGTAAGCATAATATATCTGAAAGTTAATTGATTGAAGCTCTTATAAATAGTCCTTTCTGTATACATTTTAATGGTGCTCTCACCATTAAAAGCAAACACTTTTTTCCCAGTGTTTGAGAATGGCAAGATAAATCCGTTCAGTTTACAACCTCAAATAGTAAAGTGATCTTTCAGGGATCTTGAGTGTGACTAAAAACTTGTTTTTAAAATATAAAACAAGAAAAAAAAATACAAAGCAAGAAATACCGAGTGGGGCCACAAACCAGCAGCCAGCAAAGGCTTAATAGAAAAGCCTTTTTGGTACTGATTCTGCCTAGTGAAATTTATTGTGTTTTGAATATATGTCAGAAATTCAAAATGCTCAGGTATATAGTAAAATTTGTTACAAGGGCTCAGTACTAGAAATTGTATATCTAAGGCCTGGGAACTGGAAATGAAACAATTGAATATTGGGCATTCCATATTAAATTAACAGATAATAATGCTGAGGGGAAGGGCATGGATGGTGTAGGCCTCAAACTTTCGGGTCTTTGGTCTAATTTTAGAGGTTAAGGGACATTTTTGTCACATGGCTCTTTGGAAGGCAAGGACATAACTTCAGTTAATTGTGCTGGATATTCATTGATGAAATCTAGACTGTTAGCTCTTCTGCAAACAGATATTTAAAGAATAGTGGTAAAATATATATATAACATAAAGTTAACCGTCTTAACCATTTTTAAGTGTACAGAACAGTGACATTAAGTACATTCACACTGTTGTGCAACCACCAACACCATCCGTCCATAAAACCTTTCATCTTGTAAAACTGAAACTCTTTCCCCATTAAATACTAACTCCCTATTCTTTCTCTCAAGCCTTGGCAGCCATTCTACTTTCGATCTCTGAATTTGACTACTCTTGATACCTCATATAAGTGGAATCATACAGTATCTGTCCTTTTATGTCTGGATTATTTTACTTAATGTTGTCAAGGTTCATCCATGTTGTACCATTTCCTTCCTTTTAAGGCTCAGTAGTATTTCATTGTATGTATAGACCACACTTTGTTTCTCATTCATCCTTCAGTGGACACTTGGGTTGTACTCCTTGGCTATTGTGAATAATGCTGCTGTGAACATGAATGTATAAATGTCTCTTCAAGTCCCTGCTTTCAGTTCTTTTGGGTATATATCTAGAAGTGGGATTGCTGAATCTCATGGTAATGAGATTCTATTTTTAAGTTTTTGAGGAACTGCCATAGTATTTTCTATAATGGCTACACCATTTTACATTCACACCAACGGTACTCAAGGCTTCCAGTTTCTTCATATTCTTGCCAACACTTGTTATTTTCTGGGTTTTTGATTTTATGCGGTTTGCTTTTGTTTTGTTTTGTTTTGTTTTTGATAGCAGACATCCTGATGGGTGTGAGGCGATATCTCATTATGGTTTTGATTTGCATTTCCCTAGTGACTAGTTACGTTCAACATCTTTTCATATACTTGCTGGCTATTTCTGTCTTTGGAAAATTGTCTTCAATTCCTTTGCCCCTTTGAGAATTGGTTTTTTTGTTGTTGAGTTGTATTCTGCAAACATTTTTATAAGGAATTTCTTTCTGTTCCCCGTGCACAATATTTGGCTTGTAGTAAACTGTCAAAAGATGTTTGTTAAATTGAAGGAGGAAGAACTTTGTGGAATGAAATTAAAAAGTAGCCAAGTTCAGCAAACATTTGTTGAGCTGTGTGCTGGATCCGAGTTAGACGTGAGGATATGTAGCTATATGGGACAATCCCTGCTTAGGAGGGAGCTAGCAGGATATGCTGGTAATTGGTAAAATTATAGTGTGAATCCAACTCTGGGAAGATTTATTGCAGTGCTGCGTATGGGACTGAGCCCAAAAGCATGAAGAGAAAGGTGCTGTGTTTGTATTTTCCCTAATTCCTTCTTGTTGGAATCTGTAACTTGGACAGTTTTCCTTATCCGTGGGATAACTATTAGAACTATCCTAACAGTTCTATATAAAAAGATATATTGTCCTTAATATAAAAGATGCTAATTTGTTAGCCAGAGAAAAACGTAAGGAAAATGTTTTGTGAGAACACTACCTGGACTGGTGTTAGGAAATGCAGGATATATGCAGTAGTAAAACTCAAGGACCTTAGCCTTTACTAATTATAAAAAGAAACATCTTTATATTCAGATTTCAGTTAAACTCAATAGAAACACAGATATGAATGTAAACGTGATCGTATAAGACTTGTAGGTTTTGACTGAAGAGTAATAGAGTGTCATGGCTTAGAGATGAACACCAGAGCCAGATTGCCTGGATTTGAATCCTGATTCTGATATCTCTACTTGTGTGACCTTGAGTAAATTACTAAACATCTCTGTCCCTTCCTTCTTGGTGAAAGGGAGTTAATAGTACCATCCTCAGAAGGTGATTGTAAAAATTAAATATATTGCTATAACTAAAGTACTTTGAACACTGCCTAATCTATGGTAAGTACTTAATAAGTATTAGCTGCTATAATCTTTATTATTGTTGTTATTTGTAGAGCTAGAACTGCAAAGTAGAATATTTCCTCTGAATATTTTTAGTAATTAGGATATAGTGCCATCAAGAAAGAGTGATACTTGTAGGTGGATGGATTTGGGCTTGATACTTAGGCTAGTCCTAGTTGTCATTAATGAAATCAAAGGCAATAATATACTTTCTCCCCAGATTAAAAAAATAGAATGCTCTTAAGATAATGAACATTATAAATAGCTGTACTTGTTGGCAGCAAGATATAAATAAAATTTGAGATCTTTATACGACTTATGGATGATCTCCAGTTATAGGGTAAGAAAAAAAAAAGGAAGTTGAAAAACCGTATGTACGGCATGCATTTGTAGAAAAATATAGAGAGGAAATGCATGTGTGTGTGGTTGGGTATACATCAGTGGTTTTCAACTGGGGGTGATTTTGGCAATGTCTGGAGACATTTTTGGTTGTCACAACTGGGGATGGGGGTGCTTTTGGCATCTAGTAGGTAGAGGCCAGAGAAGCTGTTTAATATCCTAAGGTGCGCAGGGATGGCCCCCAATGACACAGAATTATCTGGCACCAAATATCAGTGGTGCTGAAGTTGATACACACAGGGTAGCTCCAAAATATCTATTCTGTGTATATTTTATATGCATAAAATATACATATATATACCTAAAATATCTGCAGAAAAATGCCCAAGAAACTGGTAAGAGTAGTTGCGTCTAGGGAGGGAGCTGAGTGACGGAGGAAGAGGGTTTTTTATGTTTTTTTTTTTTTTTTAAGATTTTTTTTTTTAATTTATTTGACAGAGACACAGCAAGAGAGGGAACACAAGCAGAGGGAGAGGGAGAAGCAGGCTTCCCGCAGAGCAGGGAGCCCGATGTGGGGCTCGATCCCAGGACCCTGGGATCATGACCTGAGCCGGAGGCAGATGCTTAACAACTGAGCCACCCAGACACCTCGGGGAAGAGGGTTTTTACTGTAGTCCTTTTGTACTTTCATGACTGTACCACGTGTGTCATGTCCTACTCAAAAAATTGTTTTAAAGGTAATTCTTGAGCCCATTTACCTCCACTTCCTGAAGCTTCTGCTCTACTTTGCCATAAAACTCTAATTTTCTGTACAAATTGATTTTAGTTCTCCTATCCTCTCTTTTTAAAAACTTGTAACATGCCTTGAGCGAGTCTCAGATAGTCTGCTTAGTTGTTCTACCTCTCTTTTGCCTCTTCTAGAGTTGATGCTCAGCAGGGGTGGGGGGAGGAGGAGCCCCAAACATCAGACTCACTTCTCTGGATTTCCTTATCCCTAAGTGGGACTGTAATTCTCTGCTTTGCTCCACTGTAATGTCTTTGAGCCATCCCCCCTGTCCCCCCCAATATTTTGTTGTAGTTTTCTTGACAAGAGAGATTATTGAAATGAGCCAGTTCACTATTACTAGAAGCAACACTCTGCCTAGAATTTTTTTTTAAATAAATTTCATTGAGGTATAGTTTATATATAATACAATATACCCATTTTTGAGGGTACAGTTCCATGAGTTTTGACCAATGTATATACCTGTAATCATAAGAACCTTGATAAAGAAATTTTCATCATTACAAAGAATTATCTTGGGTCACTTCCCAATCGGTCCTCTGCTCCTCCACACGTCCCACCCTCCCACTTCATTCTCTGGCCCCAGACAACCACTGATCTCTCCATATAGATTAGGTATTTTCTTTTCTGCCTGGCTTATTTTTCTCGGCATGATTCTGAGATTTATCCATGTGGCATTTATCAGTACTTCATTTCATTTCTGGATAGTGTGTCATTGTATGAGTATGCCATAATTTGTTTATGCATTCACATGGTGATGGACATTTGGGTTGTTTCTGGTTTTTGCCTACTGTACCCAAGGCTGCTGTGAACATTTGTGTATACATCTTTGTGTGGACATACGTTTTCATTTCAGTAAGACCCTTGCACGTGCGAGGACTTCCCCTCCTTATGCCATGTCCAGAAATTGCCTCTTGACAGAAAGCCAGGGCAGCCCTAGAGCTCACATCCTTTGTTGCCCATCTGTCAAGGATGACAGTCCTATGCTGCCTGTTGTCCAGTGTGTGATGAGTAGTTTCATATCTTTTGTTTTCCCATTGTTTACAGTAGAGGGGCATGATCCATAGCACTTATCCTTTTGTGGGCAAAAGACAGGGAATCTTCCTCCTGTCTCTTCTAAACCCACTTCAGTCAGACTTTGCCTTACTGCTCCACAGAAACTGCCCTTGCCAAAGTCACCAGTGACTTCCACGTTACTAAGTCCATTGGGCATTTTTTAATCCTCGTCTTACTTCGCCTGTGGCACAGATGTTCACCCCTCCTTGAATCACTTGTTTCCGTGGCTTCCCAGACTGCATCATCTCCTG